AGGAATTCTGAAAACAGCAAGAATGTATCCATCCTCTGTAGTAACTTCGTATTCCTCACTGGGGTATCCATGGTACCTGATAATTTCACTCTGAGGGAAGCCAAAGGAGAGTTTGTTAATACACAAGTTGTCCTGTCTTGGAGGGTAACACCGCTGAGCAGTGTGGATGTGGGCTGCCCTGTGGTGGCAGTGAAAGGCCTCTGGTCACAGGGACTGTGACTCAGAATAAATAATGCATGTCTTGTAAAAAGATGCATCAAAAGCCTTCTTCAGAGCTGCTTAGGTGGTAGTTGCCTGGTGTCTGACCCCATATTATGAGACAAAGCAGAACTGTATTGAGTGACTCAATTGGGAGATAATTTCTCCTGCTTTGCAAGGCTGATACAGATCATACCTTTCTAGAGGGTAAACATGCGGCAGTGTCTGTATAATACAGTGCCAAAAGATGTGGGTTTGGGGCCATAATGAATCCTTTCTTGCCAAAGTATGATTAGGCAAGTCATGCAGGCAAGGCGAACAAGGGTGGAGCTCTTGTCATGAAGGAACTCATGAGACCACCTACACCTAATTTTGCATGTACTGTGAGGAAGTCTTTGGTTATTCAGAGCAAGGGGTCTTGGATTACTTTGTGTTGTGAGAATCTGCTGTTGGAAGAAGGGGTACAACCTCCTTTGCCGCTGTACTGAGCAAACAGGTTGTTACAGAAGGGGAGGACTTGACTTCCCTTGAAACTAGAAACCTGACTTTGCCTCCACTGCAAAGGAGCTCTTCTGTCTGGCACTTTTTGGATAGGACCATCCAGATTTCTTCTAGGCCCATGCACAGGAGCATCATCCCATGGTGGAGGGATATCTTTGTCCTCTTGCCAGAATCACACTCTCCCCTTTGTGCAGTAGCCCAAAATGCCAAGGTGTGTTGGGAAAAGTGACTGTAAACAAGTGTCATGAGGCATGGCCAAACCTCATGTTCATCATATGCCTGTTGGGTTTCAGCCTAAATGCGGGCAGTGAAAGTTTGTTGTTCAATTTGGTATGGGCTGGAGTATGTAGCCCATGCTCTGGCCGTAGTCCAGGGCTGACTCCTGTTGCTGGGGTCAAAATTCAGTAGCCTGGATCTCCAGGGTCTCTCTGGAGGTTCTGGGGAGCTGCCTGGCCTTTGGGCCAAAAAGTAGCAGCTGGCAGTCTCTGTTGCAGTGCTATGTGCCTGTGCTCATGCGACATGCAAGAGACATCTATCCGCAGCACATTCAGAGCTGGCCCTCATCGCAGCGGTGACTCTAATGCAGTGGATTTGGAAAAGACAGGTTGGGAAAAGGGGAAACGTGGAAGGGGCCCTTCTTAGCCTCCTAACAGGGACTGTTAGTGATGGGGTGATGATAGCGGCACTGGGAGAGACAAATTAGAAAGAAAAGGATAGAAAATGACCGCTGAAAAGGCAATTCCTTGGGCGCAGAGCAGCACGAGGAGGCACCACATCTTGGGGCTGTGTGAAAGAGCACGTGCAGGGGTGTTGGTGTTAGGAAGAGAGTGGAGTTCCACAGGAAGACCCAAGTGAGGACTCTGCTGAAGGTTGCCCAAGATCTGTTCCCCAGGGGGCTGCCAGAGTACCTGCGTGAGGAGGGACTGTCCACAACTTACGCTGTGTAACAGGGCAGGTTATAGAATGGCTGAGGAAAACACTTGGGCGTACCATGCAAGGGTATGCCTGAGCACTCTGCAGATGACAAGGGAGCTGTGGTTGGTAGACAGGGCCAGCGCTTGGCATGAGTCTGGAAGAAGCTTGACAAAGAAACATGAGTACCTGAGATGACAGTCACCCAGCTTGTCTGCCTTTATCTGCTTCCATTACTTTGCCAGCAGGAGAGGTGAAAGGAGAAAAAAACAGTGTTTGTTTCCTGTCTCCTCAGGAATGAGGTGAGAGAAGTTTGGGCTGGGCTCTCTTTCCACTTTCCACTCTCCTCCTTTGGGATCAAATGCCATTCTTGGTGCTGGTCAGTGGTGTGCTGGGGTGAGGGATCAGTCAGTGAGGCTGGTGAAGGTTTGTCCAGGGACCAGGAGTGACTCAGAAACTCTGGGAGGACATGTAATGGGTTTAGGGGGACACACTTGCACCAGATCAGCGCCAGCTTATGCTTTCACCGTGGGGTGATGTGCCCCAGACCAGGTTCAAGTTCTGTTTGAAATTAGTTCCTCTGAGAACTGTGTGCACAAGGTGCACAACGTGACCATTCGTGGCTTCCCAGAATCCCCATGAGTCAGTTCCTAGTCAACCTTGACCCTCAAACTGAAATTGAGTCATCTAGGTCTCCTTTTACCATCCTCTCAGACATCTTCACCAGCCCCTTGCTGCCCACTTCTTCCAAGAACCTGCTCTGCTATCCCCAGATAATTGCATTTTTCCTACTGCTGCTTCTGAGACCAACGTTTATGTCTCTCAAAATTGGCGGCTGTCACCAAGTGAGAAACCACAGAATGATTTGGTTTTAGAGCAGTGAACAATGGATCCTGGGACTGCCTTCATGTTGCCGAGGGCCTGTCTCCTTTATCTCTTAGAAATGGCTGTCCATATTGCAAATCTTGTCTTGGTCATGAGGAGGTGAGACCTTGCCCTTTCCTGGGCTGACTGATGCTACCAGATTAGCTTTTCTGAATAGCGCAGTGCAGTCTATCTAGCACCAGTTTATTCTGACTCCACCTACAGTAGATATGTTTCCACGTTTTAGTCTTTATTTTCCAAAACCCATTCAAGGTGTGCAGGAACACCACGGTCTGTAACATTCTTGAATCTTTCTTTCAATATGCAAATTTTGACTCAAAGCCTCCCTAGAAAAGGGAAGAACAGGTTCTTTGTCCCAGAAAGCTATGGGGAGTGGGACTATGAGTTAAAACTCTTGGAGAGCAAGAGAAGTGCTGACGTGGTCAGTGCTCCTTGCCTGCAAGAGAGCTGCAAGTAGGTAGGATAGGATTGTTCTTTCCGATCTGAAGAACTGTACAAAAGGGATTCATCCGTGGAGCTCAGGACTCTGCTTACACTTTCTGGAAAAGCCCTTATACACCTATGTGGTGTTGTATGCTGTGCTTGCATGTGTGAGGAGAGGATGGGAGCTGTGAAGAGAAAAGTCGCAGCCATTCTGCATGTGGATAAAGACCATGAAAATCAGGCAGGCTACCTAAATGTTCAACAGTAGAATTCACGGGACCAAAAGGACACATAATGCAAGGTAAGGCTTCAGCACATCAAGGCATCTTGTAAGACTGCCTCATTAGTAATGACTGGGGACATTACTGCTCTTGTAGGCTTGGTTTCCTCAGAAGAAAAGGACATGCTTCTATGACCACCGCGTGTTTATATTAGTTCACCTTTCTGTCCATCCTGTAATTAACTTTTGATGTCATTGGTAAATATCTGCCAAGTTCAGCGCTGAGGTACACGGCAGTAAAGTAAAGGGGTTTGCAGGAGCTCCAGAGGACTGTTTGCTGGTGGAGGACTATTCAGTGGGGTTAGTGCCTTGCTGGGGGGAAGGCAGGCTGAAGGCAGCTGCTCTATGTTCTGCAACCAGCTGAGCAGTCAGCAAGAGAGAACTAGCCAACCACTTCGTGTCCGTGTAGCTTCAAAGCAGCCACAGCACGCATGGCTGGGCATCGGGGTTCAAGAGAGAATTTTGCAGGGGACCTGCATGTATTATAGGTTGCATTAGAAAGTTAAGCAGACTTAGGAAACGAGTCTTTCTGAAACCTGGCATTGCTATGTCCACTAGACACAGAGAATCCAATTTTTAATGAAGAACAGAGGTTCTCATGCAGCCACATGTTTCTGGAGTCTGCATCTGGGATAAGACATTGGCAACGATAAGACATGCTGCTCTATGAAGTTTGTTTTGACTTGGAAATGGAGCTACAGATCAAGAGAAAATAACAGAGTATTCCCTGGCAAGTAATGGGGAAGGTGAGCAGGATTTGTGAGACTGAGGGAGGAGTAACCAAGAGATTTTTGCTTTCTCTAAATCTCCTTTTAGGAGAAGGAGTTTCAACTTTTCTTCAGTTTAACCTTTAAATTTGACTGAATGAATTTCAAGAAGTCAAACCTCCTGAGTCATCAGACAGTTGGAATAAAGCAGAGTTTGGAAACACCCAAAACTTTAAACTTGGCATTAAAACACACTTCGTTCGATTCCTTTTGTATATCAAATACTTCTTAATTTTTGTTGTCAAAATAGGAAGCCTCACAACTACATACAGTCAGCACAACAATCTTTTTTGCTTTCTGCTGTTTTACTCTGTTCTAATGGGAGTAAAATATGCCTTCCTCTCCCTGCATGGGAAATCTCATTTGTGAAGAAAAAATTCTGGTAATGTCTCAACTTGTTTTCAAATCACTACCAAGACTAGTTGAGGCAATGCAGAGGCTAAATTATTCCTCTTGTTAGGGCAAACTTTTCTCAACGCACTCTATGATCACCTGGCTTAGTGGGCATGGCTCACAGACTTCCAGGTATTTGCATTTTAAATCAGATACAGCAGGCTAAGTAATATCAATTTGGTAGGTCACTGCTCCCTTAACCTTCAGGAATAAACACTTGACAGAAGCCGTGAACACCTGCTTTTATCTAGTGAAGTAAAGTCATAAGGAAATATTAGGCGTGGTGAACTGTCATAAAAGAACATACTTAGAAAAAAAAAAAAAGTCAGAGAGAGAGATGCCCTTCAAAGCTTTTTAGGCACTTTTAAGATTTGGTGAAAATAAGATACAAGCCCTGCAGAAATTCATCTGTCTATCCTTGTACTTTAAGCAGTCTAAAATTTATTTCCTATAAGCTGTAAGGCATGCACACACCAACCAGAGAAGCAACGGTGACTCAATGCATGGGAGAATCTTCTGCCTTACTCACTAACAAAACATACGTATGCATGAAATTGCAAGAGCGGGCGGTCCAATTTACACACGCTAGGATTTTTATTCCCTTGTTCTCAGACTGAAGAAAACAAGTAGAGCAAAATGAAAGAGTTGCTCTTTTTCTTCCTCTTGTGCAGGTCAAACTTTGTCTTCTAACCTGAACAAACATGAACTTCTGTGCACTAGGCTTACAGATCAGAGATGCAAAAAGCTGTCTATCATTACAAGCAACTGCACAAAAGCAAGACTGCACATCTTTATGGAGACAGGTATCAGAGAAAGAGACCATGAACACATATGTACAAGCAACTTACCTTGCTTTGACTGCCTTCCTTGTGTCTTCTGCCACAGTTCCTGGTCCGTCTCCACTAGCAGACTGATTCACTGGCAGAAACCTGCGCCGATAAAAGGAAGTCAAAACACAATGAGCACTTCAGGGTAGCAGCTGTGAGTGTCATGAGTTGGCAGCATGTATTGTAGAGCGTGTTTAAGTGCTGATTTGGCAGCAGTTCAGAAGTGGGGAAATCTTTGTGATGAAAAAGATCTTCTGGTTAAATTCACAAACCCAAAACGCACCATGGAGCAGGAGAGCTTAAGAAGGACATACAAATCAGTGGTCAGGATGTCTAGCTAGGACCTGGGCGTTGCAGTTCCCTGAGGCTGTGGCAGACCTTGACCTGTACTGTTGCCTAATGGAGGGGCTGCTCCAAACATAATTTTTCAGGATTAAGATGAGGAAGTGTCCAGCTTCTCTCAACATACTCTCTGAAGAACACTGTCTCTGTTACTGCTTTTCATTTGGTTTATGTTAACTTCAACATTACACACAGACTTCTAAGTCCATTTGTCAGTGAGCAGCACAACTCATGAAACCCATCTTATTCTATGTTAGTCAGAGTTGAGGTGGCTTCTGCAAGGACCATATGGTGTCAAGGAAGGCTTGAACACATCATATAACTTTTCTCCCAATGAAGGAACAAACAAGGGTTCTTCTTTTTCTCAAGCCGTTTGCATCAACTCTCAAAACATATTATCTTTGGAGATCTTTCCCTTACTGCTGAATTAGTTGTAGTCAGCCTGGGGGCTCAGTCACTTAAATTGGTTTGATGACCATGGGCAGAAAGACAAGTTCTGTGTCCTTAGGCAGCTGGGCTACAAACAAAGTAGAATCCTCCTGCGTAAGGACCAGCCTTTTCAGCCAATTAACTCATAAGTGTCTTCAGAAGAACTTGTGTTTCATCATAGACTGATGAGCGTTTAGGAGAACACCAGATGAAAAGGATGTGTTCTTGGGAGCACTGTTTCAAATAATGTGATGCCTTTGGGTGGTGGGGGAAGGAAAGGCATGAAATAAGAACAGAATGTCAGTGAAGCCACAGTAACAGTTCTGCTTTGTATACAAAGTAGAGAACATTTTTTTGGGGTAGTGAAAAAGGTAATTTAGTAATTTCTCAGTGAAAAGCATTATAACTTGGCTCTTCTGATGTATCTAAGTGACAATAACTTCCATCAAACCATAAATTAACCACTCAGAAGGGCTTCTGGAACATGATGTCTAGTCCCTCCTCATATCCCAAGGTGG